AGGGGGGCAATGGGGGGGGGGTAAGGACACATATGTAATACCTTAATTAATAAAGAAAAAAAAGAGAGATTTGGATACTCAGAATAACCCTTCTGTATCACTTTCTAAACTGAATTTCCTTACATGCAATTTGGATTTCTCTGAAATAAGCAACCATAGGGGTTGGAAAGTTCCAGCTCAGATTTATAACAAAATGAAAAAAGATTGAATTCTGTCCAGAAATGTGTGATGGCATTCAAAGAAGAATGACATTTACTGAAGTAATACTTCCCCTTAATACTCTTCCACATGAAATTTGCCTTCTTGTAAGCAGATTACCTTCATAGACAATGTAGGGACAGCACTTAATAACAGTGAATTATATCAACCAAGCTACTAAAATTAGTAATGATTTTGTTTATAAATAGCTATGTAATGGTACTTTATTTTGTGAACCCTGCAGTGTAGTTCTGTGCACTGAATGCCTGTTAACTTACTATCTTCCTTTTGTTTAAAGCATGCTTCTTTAAGGTTATCTCTTAAACCACTGTTATTATTTATACTAGAGGCCCAATGCACAAAATTCGTGCAAGGGGCTCAGCCCTCACAGCCCCAGCTTCATCTGGAAGGTCGTTCAGCTGTCCAGTCTAATTATCATATTATATTTTTATTATTATAGGTGTTGGGAAGAGTAGGCATGCATTTCCAGGAGATATGGATTAGAAAGTTCAAGTGTATGTATGGTTGTGTGTGTGTGTGTGTGTGTAGACTGAAAAAAATTTGCCTCTCTTAAGGTTCTTATGTACCCCATTAGGAGGCATTCCCCAACCTTTAGATGAAAGTCTGTGGACCAGAAAAATTAAATTGTTACAAGAAATTATTATTGGCATTTTCAAGTAAAAGCAACATGCACACCTGCTATAGGATTAAACCATTAGAGCCTCTGTATCTTGAGACAGGAAATCTGAGAGGTAAAAGAACTTCTTATCTTTGTAATACTGACTCTTTTATTCTGAACAAAGATAGCCTATTATTTCGAAAATAAAACGGTAGACCTAAAAAAGTTCCTCCAGGCTACTGTGTCCATTCCCTTTGGATCCAGAAAGGCTGAATATTAATGTATCTCATTTAAATTGCTCTGCTATTTTGAAAGCTGTCTTGAGTCCAATCTCCCCTTTGGGGAAAACAGGAATAGAGAAGAAGGGAATCTAGAAGTCTGCCTGGCTTGGCTCAAAACTGATATGGCATCGAAAGATGCCAAGGTCGAGAAGGGTTGGAAGAGAGTTTGGGAGATTGCGAAGAGATCCATTTTATGATGTGTCAGCCTAGAGAGGAAAAGGAACCTTTGGCTTTAGCCAACAATATAGATGGCAAGTGAGTTGCCAAATGCATTAAGTCAGTTCAGATTCATTTGTCAAAGTCAGGATGGGGCTCACTAGCACAACGTTTCTCTAGCTACCTTGGCTGGAAAACTTTACACCACTCACTGTAGTCCAAGTATGGGTATGTGTCTGCTGGGGGCAGGCTGCTGGTCATGGTGGTGGTTCTTTGTGACCAACTTCTTGGTCTGAGGCTGCTAATGGCCTCACTGCTGAAGCGTTCTATGTATGGTCAGGTTCAGATGTTTTACACAGACCAGGGAAGAGTGACAGATAGCATTTACATTCTGATGATCTTCCTGTGGCCTCATGGTCATCTGTGCTCTTGTATTGAACCTTTGATCCCATTCATGACGGCTCCACCCTCATGACCTACCTCCCAAAAGCCCTACCTCCCAAAATCATCACATTGGAGATCAGGGTTTCAACACATGAAATTTTTTTTTTTTGGGAGGGGGGGAGAGGCAAAAACATTCAGTCCAGAGCACCTACCTCAGATGGCCTCCTTTTCCTTCTTTCCTACTTCTTTTAAATTGCTGTACTACTCACTCTGCTCCCTTCCTAAAAAATTCCAATGTAATTTTTCTAAAAATGTTTCCCCACTCCCTTTTCTTTTTGTTTCCTTTCAGTAATTACATGGCTCAATCTTAAGCTCTACATAGTTGCCCTGAAATCTGTGTGTCTTCCCTGACCATTGGTAAACACATCTGGATATCCCCATTTGGATGGTCATCTGGCTGTTGAGGACAAAAGGCCACAATGAACTCATCCTCTATCCATTTTTTTCCTGTAATTATTCCAGCATTCTGGTTACCAGGTTCAAAACTCAATAATCATTCTTTACATCATTCCTTGGCTCCTGGCCTTTGATGATTTTTTCATTCCTGTTGTTAAGATCCCTCTGAAATGCCTATTTTTTGTTGTACTGGTACCAGCCAACTCCAATGCACTGTGGTTTTGGCTTGCAGAGACATGCTTTAATGGAAGTCATAGTTGCCAGGGACCAGCATGTCCTGTGTGCAATAATGCAAGGGGTAATTTATGGGAGTTAAGCACTGGCAATAAGATAGAAATCATGTTGTTCATAGGATGTGAAGAAGCATTTTATTTGTTGGATACACAACTGACAAGGGGCCACCCTCAGCTCCTCGCTGGTTGTTGGCTGGACTCCACCTTCAGTGCCTTGTCACATGGGCCTTCCCCAAATTGCTACATGCTTTATCAAAATCAGCAAGAGAGAGTATCCTTCCAAGATGCAGCTCACAACCCTATGTAACCTAATCATGGAAGTAAGTGATATCCCATCACCCTATTCTATTGGTTATTCTGTTGGCTAAAAGTAAGTCAGGGGTCCCGTCTACACTGAAGCTAGAGGGGATCATGCAAAGACTTGAACACCAGGAGAGGGGGTGACAGGGACTATGAGAGAGTCTGCTGACCACATATAGCAGGGTTGGGGAACATCCAGCCCGCGGGCTGTATCATTTGATCTGGCCCTGCCAAGGCAGGACTCAAAATTTCATAAATCTAAGAGCTTTTTTTCATAGCAACATTATTTTTAAGTTGATAATTTTTTATGGCCCGTTAATGGTGTCATAAATATCCAGTGGTCTTTGGCAGACAAATGATTCCCCAACCCTGATGTATAGGAAGGGAGGAAACACAACTCTTGTCACTTCTATAATTCTAACACATCAGTGGTTAAAGCCTCATTGACAGTATTTATTTAGGTTAAATGACAAATATTTCAGATATTAGAAAGTCAGTAGAAGCTTTCTTCCTGTTTCTTCACTTAATTAGGCAAAAATGAAAGTTTTTCTGCAGGGTTCAGAAGGTTGTCTTACTGGATAATATTGAATTATTATTAAAAAATAATTGCTATTAATGAATTCATTATACGTTCCTTTGTTCCTTATCTGCCATTTGGTTCTCTCTCTCTTTCATCATTTTCTATTCCATTGATTACTTTCAGAGCCCATCTCTTCCTACCATTTTTTATCATACATTTTTAAAATAGAATTTTCCTCTTTCCTACACTATGCATATAGGTGTTTACTTTATTGAAGTCATTAATGACTTGATAGCTTCCCCTTAGAGTCACTGAAGTGAATTAAGGTATTTCCTGTGAGATTTGGTCAATTTCTCCTTGACTTGAATTATCATAATCTGTATATGTTTCTGCTTCCATTCTGTCATTACTTATGGCCCTGAAATAATTATTTCTCAAAGGGTTGAAGAAATTTGGGATTATGTTCTACACTGTCCAAATGAGACTCTTTCAGGGTTGAGTCACTTAAGACATTTTAGTGGAGCTGAGAGTAATTTTAATTAAGATCTTAAGCTTATAAACATGATGAATCTTTACTAGTAGGAGGAAATATATACATCGGATTGAAAATAAAATGAATAAATAGATATAGGTACTTTTTCTCAACCTCTAATTTTAGAGATGTACGTAGATTTTTTAAAGATGAAGCAAAAACAAACACAATACAAATTAATACATCAAAACCATTATCAATGAATAATAATCTCTCATTTATATTTCTAAAAACCAGAACACCTTAGTAAACTTACACGTGGGTCCATTTAGAATTGTCAAAATCAGGTCCAGTTACCTAGTTATTTTCAGAGGTCAGGACTTTCTTGCCATTGGAGCCATGATATAAAAATTTCTTTAAGCAAACAAGTGCCTATCACATGTGTGCATCACCTAGGGGATGCATGCAAAAACTGGGATGTTCCAGACCTTTATTTCTATCACCCAGATGGCAATGCTGCTGGTGTGCTTTTCTTAAGAATTTGGAGTCTTGCAATTTAGGTTAGAGATCAGGAGGCTAATACTAACCTGATGCAGGTGCCGTTGTTGTGGCATCGATGATGAGCACACCAAGAGACATGGCAGTTCTCAGTGTTCTTTCCACGTAGTGCTTCATCAGTGATGAAGAATTCTTTGTTGTTTACTTGAAGCTTTCCAATGCAGCCCTTGAACCCATAAATATGGCCCACATTCTTATGAATCTTAACATTTTCAGGTATATGGCCAAGGAACATTGATTCAAAATATACCTATAAGAAAAATAGCAATAAACAAACATCTTCTTATAAGGTGTTAGATTATAGGAGAGGGGCCTAGGATATTTTGTTCTGTAATTGCATAGTCTTCTATATTAAACAGGTTCCAATTGTGTGCTAGTTTTGTCAACCCACATAGTAGGAGGTAAGGTACATTTACTTTAGAAAAAGGCCCTTATTTTATATTTCTTTGTATCTATCACAATAGCTAATAAATTTTATTACAAAAATGGGCATTTGACAAAACTTGATTACTTTGAAATGTATTTTAGAACTCAAGTGTATGCTTTTCAATGTGAACATTATCAAATAATAACTGATAAAGAAAATTAAACCTTGTTATTTAATTATTAATAGAGATTGAATTGTGCTACCCCAACCCCTAATTCATATGTTGAAGTCCTACCTACCATCCAGTACTTCAGAATATGACCTTGTTTGGAAATAGAGCTTATACTCATTGACCAGAATGAGGATAAAATCACTTGCATGATATAAATTGCTACTTAATCTCTCCTTTATAATCCTTCATCAATATAAATAAACTGAACTTTCATTGTTCAGATGTACATAAAATGCAACATTCCTCAATGGGGATCTATGAGCTACAGTTGAAGTCTGGATGAAATGGTAATGAGCTGTTAGGCATATGACAGGTCGATGCAGCTGCACTGGTGCCCAGTTTATGTCTCTGATGTGCTTATTCCCCAAACTCACTCACTCAGTCCCAGCTGATTTCGAAGAAAGTATTTAATTTGGTCTTACAGATGCATTTAAATGGACAACTGTCACTGCAAGAATTCAGAAACTATAGCCAAATAATTAAGTTATGACTGGTGGGAGGAGATGATGTGAGATGCCTAGTAATATTACTTAATACTTATACTAATTTTTTTGGTTTAATGCAAATGTGCTTTTATAGAACAGAAGCATGTGCAATTCTAGGAACATCAAAGCATCTCTATGACCCATAGTAGGTCAAACTAATTATATTATTTGAGCTCTTATTCTTTTTTAGTGACTTGGGCTCTGCTCCTAAGGCCATTTCTTATTTTTTTCCCCTAAGTACCTCTTATGGGACTCATGTATAGTTCCCCAGAGTATGAGTACCTTTGGGTATAGTGGGGTGGAAGTTTCAAGGTGTATTAATAGAGCCCTCAGGCAGCATAGGAGTATGTGAATTTGTTTTTCCGTCCTTTTTTATATGCTAAGTCCATTTATATCAATTACTCTAACAAACTATTAGCAGAGCTCTTTTATCACCTAAGATTAGTGACTCACTGCTAATGCAATCTGGGATCTATCATGAACCTGCAGACTCAGCGAATCCAAGGCTGTGACCTTGCTCTCATTGAGGATCTCTGACATCTTTGTGTATTGATCACACACCTGGAACAGCAAACCTCTCACTGCTTTGACAAGTGTGCTGTTTTAGCACAAAACTGATAGAGGATGAAAGAATATCCTCCTCTAATGCCAGCAGTAGGCAGATCGGAGGGAAAGTCTATAGAACTATCTATGATTTATTAGACCATTAAAAAACACCCAAACAATGGAAATAAATGGCTCTTGTATTTCTTTTGATCTGAGGCCCAAACTTAGTTGGAGCCCTGAGATGTCTAAAAAAACAGCTGTCGTTGATTGCACATAGATAACCATTAAGATGGTTGACTTCCTCTATCCCCAGACTCTCAATTATCTAAGAGCTGCCTATTGTGTGTATAATCATTCCTAAGAAGACAGGTCTTTAAAGTAAGTCTTTTCTAATAACTCCTTGTGAATCAGACTATGGAGAATAGAGTCTGACATCAAGATATGATCTTACAAGATAAAACCACAGAGAACAGACATGGATAATCAACGAGGAATCATCAAGATAATGAAAAATAAGAATGGTGACTGAGGGGAAAGGACTCCAAATCTGACAAGAATGAATGAACAGTTCCTTTTCCCTCAGAGTTTCTCTTTAAAGGAAGAATATAGTGCTCTTTTATAATATGTGGGAATACAATAAGAAGATAGGCAAAAGGGAACAAACTTTTTAAAAACTGGAGAGTGAGGGGAAGATGGGTAAGAAGCTGTTTTATCTGCTTTTTGTTTTGTCTTCACTTAAATTTAGATATTGGGGTACTACATACGTTTCTGTTATGATATCTTGATTCAATGTTTGCTTTTGTTTTATATCCTCAAGTCTGTCTGAAGTTGAATGACCTTTGTGTTAATGAAATATAGGAAGGTAATTGCAAATGTATTTCTTTGTTAAGATTAACTATTATTGGCAAATATGTTCTCCCATGCAGTGGGCTTTCTTGTTGTTTTGTTGATGGTTTCTTTTGCTTTGAAAAAGCTTTTTATTTTATTTCAGAAATCGGCCCGAACCAATATGCTCAATTAATATTTGACAAAGGAGGCAAGAACATACAATGGAGCCAAGATAGTCTCTTCAATAAGTGGTGTTGGGAAAATTGGACAGATATATGCAAGAAAATGAAACTAGACCACCAACTTACACCATACACAAGAATAAACTCAAAATGGATAAAGGACTTAAATGTACGACAGGAAACCATAAAAATTCTAGAAGAATCCAAAGGCAACAAAATCTCAGACATATGCCAAAGCAATTTCTTCACTGATACAGCTCCTAGGGCAGTTGAAACTAAAGAGAAAATGAACAAATGGGACTACATCAAAATAAAAAGTTTCTGCACAGCAAAAGAAACCATCAACAAAACAACAAGAAAGCCCACTACATGGGAGAACATATTTGCCAACATTATATCTGATAAGGGCCTAATCTCCAACATTTATAGGGAACTCATACAACTTAACAAAAGGAAGATAAACAATCCAATCAAAAAATGGGCAAAGGATCTAAATAGACACCTTTCAAAAGAGGACATTCAGAAAGCCAAGAGACATATGAAAACATGCTCAAAGTCACTAATCATCTGAGAAATGCAAATCAAACTGACAATGAGGTACCATCTCATACCTGTCAGAATGGCTATCATCAACAAATCAACAAACAATTGCTGGTGAAAATGCAGAGAAAAGGGAACCCTCATGCACTGCTGGTGGGAATGCAGATGGGTGCAGCCACTGTGGAAAAGAGTATGGAGTTTCCTCAAAAAATTAAAAATGGAACTTCCATTTGACCCAGTAATCCCACTCTGGAAACAGCCTAAGTGCCCATCAGTAGATGAATGGATTAGAAAACTGTGGTACATCTACACAATGGAATACTATGCTGCTGTAAAAAAGAAGGAACTCTTACCATTTGCAACAGCATGGATGGATCTGGAGAGCATTATGCTAAGCGAAATAAGCCAGTCAATGAAAGAAAAATACCACATGATCTCACTCATTTGTGGAATATAACGAACAACATAAACTGATAAACAAAAACAGATACAGAGACAAAGAAGCATTGAACAGACTGTCAAACTTCAGCAGGAAGGCAGGGGAAGGTTGGAGTGGGGGTAGGAGATCAACCAAATGACTTATATGCTTACATATAAGCATAACCAATGGACACAGACACTAGGGGATGAGGGCATGTGCGGGAGGGGGTGGGGAGATTGGGGGGAGGTCCATAGGAGAAAAAAGAGACATATGTCCTACTATTTGTAATACGTTAAACATTAAAAAAAGACTAACTATGATAGTGTACTTGTCTTTTTACAAGAATATAATGACAAAATTGACACAAACTGACTTTCACTTAGTGTTATTGCAGATTTTTGTGTTTAATTGCATCTGAATTATATGCAGACAGATTCAAAACTACACACATGGAAGCTTGGGATAAAGATAGATAAGAGATGTTGGGTAAATGTTTGTGAAAGGATTTATTTAAATAACTTTTCACATGTGATTTACATCTTAAATTCTTTAAGACTGTTTAGAGACATTAAATAAAAGGGAATTAAAAGGCAGAAGCAGTATTTATACAAACCACTCACCCCTTTGCTGTTAGTTTTTCTCCTCCCCCCAATAACGTGATAATCTGTGCATTTGTGGTCCCTTTTTTTTAAAAAATATATTTTATCGATTTTTTACAGAGAGGAAGGGAGAGAGACAGAGAGTTAGAAACATGGATGAGAGAGAAACATCGATCAGCTGCCTCCTGCACATCTCCCACTGGGGATGTGCCCGCAACCCAGGAACATGCCCTTGACCGGAATCGAAGCTGGGACCTTTCAGTCCGCAGGCCGACGCTCAATCCACTGAGCCAAACCGGTTTCGGCTGTGGTCCCTTTTATATTAATTTATACCCCTTTTAAAAGCTGGGTCTCCACCCCTCATTATCTTGGGGTTCTCATCATCTATAGCAACACCTTGCAAATAGGAGGTTTGATATAAGTTTGCATATATGACCTGATTCATGAAACTCAATCCTGCTTTTCTTCAGTCTCCTACTTGGCTTTTTGGTCTCTTCTCCTACTTTATTTGGCTTTATAACCTTGCTAGTTTCTCAGATTCAGCATAAAGGGAGGTCCTCACTGAATACCACCCAAGAAGGAGTATTATTATAGCTTTAATACAAATACATCTTCACATGTTAAACAGCATAAAGTATAGGCAGTGTTTATATGGAAGTTCTTTTCTTTTTTTAAAAAAAATATATTTTATTGATTTTTTACAGAGAGGAAGGGAGAGGGATAGAGAGTTAGAAACATAGATGAGAGAGAAACATTGATCAGCTGCCTCCTGCACACTCCCTACTGGGTATGTGCCCGCAACCAAGGTACATGCCCTTGACCTGAATCGAACCCGGGACTCTTGAGTCCCCAGGCCGACGCTGTATCCACTGAGCCAAACTGATTAGGGCGATAGAAGTTCTTGAGTTACATATGAGATTAACATCAAGAGGCTCACACAAAGAGGGCGATAGAAGTTCTTGAGTTACATATGAGATTAATATCAAGAGGCTCACACAAAGGGTTATTTTTTAATTTGATAAATATCAGTGACATCCTCACTGGAACCATACTTCACAGATAAACCTGTGATTCTTAAGGCTTTCAAGGCTAGAGAACATTTTAAAAATAACATCTTCTCATTTTGTTGAAGGAAGAACTGAACTTTAGTAAATAATAAATTGAATTGCTACCCTGTGAGCACATGGATACAGGGAAGTGGAAATAGAAAAAAAGGATGTGAGCTTAGTCTCGTCTATAAGGAAGTTAAATGTTATCTGGGGAAATAAATCACAAAGAAATTAAATAGTCAGAAAAGAGCAGCTTTCCAGTCAGTAAGATGGAAGAATAGGAAGTTCCAGAAAGTCATTCCTTTCCTCATGGAGACATTGGTTCAACAATACACAGACAGAGTGTCCATATGAGAAATGTGTAGACTCAGTAGAGAGGCACTTGCATCTTAGGGGACTGTGAAACCATCTGCATTGAGGCCAGCTGTATTGAGAACATATATGGCACTCACTTGCCATAGCCTTCTTCTAGGCTCAGTGGAGCAAGATTGAGAGAAAACTTCCAGTTTCCAGCTTATGTTTGGGGGAAATAGAAAACTGAGACATATGCCCTATGTGTAGAATTTTCAGGGTGCTGCCTAAGGGACTGGTTGCTGACAGGTAAGGGTGCCAGATTGGGGCCACTGAGAACAAAGATGAAGGTTTGACCAGTAGGTATTCCCTCAGCATAACCCCTCCTCCACCCCAGTGGGAGAGAGTAGGTGAAAGCCCCCAACTCCTGACTTCTTCCTGGGGATGGAAAGAGTTGGAACTTGCATCCAAAATTACACTTTTCTGAGAGACTGGTTTCTATTTTGCCTGACTGGAAGTTCTGATGAGACCCAGCATAGTCTAGAAACTTGAGGGCTGCTGAGAACAAAAGAAAACTGGGCTGCTTACAGCAGCTCCAGAGAAACGGCAGTACTGCAGACAGAGAGCAGAGGGAATAAAAGATCACAAGCACCCTAAAAAGACTGGCAAATTCGTATAGTAAAGAATTCACACACACACAAGTCTAGAGAAGACACATCCATTAAAAGATTTGAGAGGGTCCCAGAGTTTCTAGCTGTGCTATTTGGTGTAGGTCCTTTCCTATGCAAAGCCATTCCATAAACACTGGGAGATGGTTGTTTTTCCAAATGTGTGGATCCCATCACAAAGTGACAAGGCACAAGAAGAAACAGGAAAACATAGCCCAATCAAAGGAACAAAATAAATTTCCAGAAACCAATCTTAAAGAAATGGAGTTATATGAATGACCTGACAAAGAATTCAAAAATAACTGTCACAAAGCTGCTAAATTGGTTCAAAAAACTGAATCATGAAGAAAATAAGAATATCAACAAAGAAAAACTATAATAAAAAATCAAACAGAAATTTTGGAGCTGAATATACAAAGCTCAATTGAAAATTTCACAGGAGTTATCTGATCCCAGAAGGGCCCTCGGGGTGGGGCAACGAGGGGGTGGGGGGTGTAGGGGGTGCCCACACCAGGCCAGGTGAGCTCAGAAACAAAGACAAAAGAAAGAGAGA